ATTACAAGTTAGTGACACTTGTTTGAAAGCCCATGTATAATTATATACTGATTGAGGTCAAGTGCATGAGATTGAACAGATTTCACATGTTTTTCCCGGGTTAAGAAAATACATGTTTTTGATGAAACACTGTCTATACACACTGCAAATCAAAAGTAAAACAAACATAATTTTTAATAACTGTGTTCTGTTTTAATACATGTTATGATGTTGTTTATTCTCTCTTACATTACATTAATTTATGTATGTCCATGTAGTGTTTGATTATATTTTGTTTTAAAAGTTCTGTTCAAGTCACCATTACAATGATTAGTGTTCTCTATACTGATACACGTTAGACTACTACCTGGCGTGACAGTTAAATCATGCTGTAACAACTAAAAGCCATCCACACTGGACACAACAAAGTGATCGATGCAAATCCATTTGTCCTTCGTATCAGAAGTAGCACATCACAACTAGAACGGGCCATCAGTTTTACGCTTGGGAATTTGTCGTCACGCGGCTGGCACCACATTCATTGGAGACAGCATCACTGATTATAATGGGTTCGCTTTTGTGCGTTGCGGAGTGCCACCAGTGTCTGGTGTAGACAGTGGTGTAAGAACGTTATACATTGCAATTATGAAATATCAATGCTCATATTAATTTAACGTGCTACTCTACACACCAAAAATGCAAGTTCATAGAACTTAGTATATTGTGTTTGATGAAAGCAAAGATTTTTTTTTATTGTTAAGTAAACTCAAAAAAAGTCCTGAAACTGGTTTCCTCAAGTTTTTGTGTTCTCTCACCTTCTAATACCTTTAAAACAAACATACATGCTCACAGTTAAAATGACAATTGACTAAGTCTACACAACAACGTTGAAAATGGGGCACATTTATACGTCTGGAGCATTTAGTTACTATTTCGGTCTCTGTGTAAATAAGAAATTAAAATCAGCAGCAGATGTATAGAACAGCACTACAAAGCAACGGTTTACTACGGGCTAAATAGTTTTAACATACTGTCATGCTCACACTTCTAAACACTCAAAGCTATTGTGCAGAGATTCAAAACATATGTACAATAATACGTTTTAATATGGTAAACCTTTGACTGACATGAGACACATCAACGAAGTATGTAAAAATAGCAAGAAAAAAAATAAAACTTTGTGCAATTCCAGCAGCCATCACACTAAATCCAGTCAGTTCAGCAGATTCAGAAGTCTTTCATTATGACAGCAGAGCAGAAACTAATCATTCAAACACCAAAAAGGACACACAGATGTCTTATCAGCGCAGTGCTGTCTGTCTGTGGGAGCACTTCAGGCTGCTATAAGCATGACAGCAAGACCACGCTAATCCACAATACACAAAAATTAATATATTTAGAGCTGAATGTACATAAACTTTATATGAAATTCAGGTTTTCTATGTTATTACACAGCTCTATTTCTGTTTCTGTAAAACTATAATTGACCGGAAGTTATACCGGTTATACCAGTAAGCCGTGTTATACGCATCACTTTTGCGTAGGTTGTCTTCACCCTGTGAAGGATTGTTTTTGCCATAATGACCGGCTGACTCAACATTAGTTTTTCCATGGCTTCATATATCATATAAATAGGGAAAGCTGATAAAATATTACAGAATACGACATCATGATTCAATGATCCAGCCCGGGTGACTGTTGCATTTTCTTATGGCTTTATTTTCTGCAACTACTGCTAACAAAATGCTGTTTTAGGTAACAGCAGGGTGCGGTGTGTGATATGCAATTAAGATAACAGCTGAGTAAACCATTTCAATAGCACTTCCATCAAAGAGTGTGGTTAAAGAAAAACAATGCTTTGTTTACTTCAGCTGTATGAACAAAGGACTATGCTTAAGAGACCAATAATAAGAGTGCTTATGTTCAATTTAAATGGATTTAAAAATATCTTTAAAGTAACCGCTATTAAATATACCTAGATATTAAATGTTTGTCTACAAAGGGTTACAAAACATCTTTACAAAAACAGTTTATTCTTGCCCAGCTGTAATAAGAAGCCATCAGCCAATCACCATCAGGAGTCACAATATACCAAGCCCAGTGAGCCAGTACTAATGTGGCACAGGAAGAAGCTCTTACACACTCACTGACTGATTCATATTTGAGTTTTAGATCATAATAAATAAGTTTAAAATTAAACGAGCACTTTACACATAAAAAAATGTGTTGGTGTCAGGACTACACCCTTATAACTTAACCACACAACAATTTAGGTCATACAAAAAAAATAAATAAATAAATAAATATGGCACAACAACATGCGTCTCAAATATTTTAATTTAAATACTAAAAACTAGAGCTCTTATCTTGGTAAAAAGAGTGGTAAAAATTCCAAGAAAAAGCTATGCTTATGCAATACAGATTGATACAGTTTGTGAATGTGTTACTACAAATGATGGTGGCAGTGAATAAAATAATATTCTGATATTTTTCAACCACAACCCTAATGTCAGAATGCTTATTTTTAAAACCTTCTGAACATGTTCAATGTGTGCTTCTTTTACCGAGGTATGCGAATAAAAGACCCACAGACAGACGTTTCTGTAATTTATACATATATGTATGTGTGTTTGTGTGTCTATGTATAAACTGTATACACCAAACCAACAATTACCAAAAACACGCACAAAACTGATTTTGAATGGGCATATCTGTTATTCGCATATCTCTCGAACCGTTAATCCGATGGATTTTAAACTTGACAGATGTATTGCTACGGGCACAAGTAAGTGCAATGCAACATTTGATATTGTTTGGACTAGAAATGCAAAAGATGTCAGTAAATATATCAGTAAAATAAGCAAACATTGGCTTTTGCCGCTTGCCAGTCTGGCTCACACTGCACACTGAGTGACCACTCCCCAAAATAAACATTCTGAAATTAGAGGGTTGTGGTTTAAAAATATCTGAATATTGTACTTTATTCACGGCCATCATTTGTAGTAGCCTATTCACAAACTGTTTGCTCAAGCGTAGTGTTTTCTCGGAGTTCACCGTTTAGCTGCTCCAGCCAAGGTCTGAATCTCCCCTGAATCGTCACACTTATACATTTGTGAATGTTAACTGAAACTGTAAGTCAGCTACACTGTTTAATTGAAGATAATATTTTATTCTGGTGCGCTTAACGCTATTGTTTTCTCAGAGTTTATGCTCCTGTGTAATAATAGCCTAGGCTATTCAGCAACTCAAACATACCAAACCAATAAATACTAAAAACACATTTTGCACGGGCCTTGCACTAGTTTACTTTAATTTGAATAGTTTTATGACTTGATTATTAGATTAACAACCACCCTGCAGTTCCTAACCACTTGGGAAACCCTACCCTGAAGGACTATGTTCATCTTACTAGTCCGCCTGTTTAATAAACCTGTCCCAGTTTCTAGATAAACACTAGCATGCTAAACAAACTCCATGCATGCTGAATTTTATATTAGATCCAAAAAGTCTCGCAAATCACACTCTGTAAAACAAGCTGCTCTCACTGGAGCATAGCCAAATCAAAACACCACAAAGCATGTTTATGGGCCATTTAACATGTGAAAGAAACCTACAGAGAACTCTCATCAACGGTTGCCTTTTCCCACAGCCATTATTAGCGAGTTTACAAGAATTGTCCCAGTTAATTCACCATGGCAAAGCGGTATGAGAGCGCATAATTACTCAGACTCATTTAGAACTCATTACAGCAGACGAGAAGAGTTTTCGATGGCTGACATAGCAGGAATGGGACATATTCTCGATTCTATCAATGACATTATTGCTAAAGAGGCTCAATCCATTTTGTGCTGGGTCGGCAGTTCCTGCTGACATAAGAAAAGAGAAACATAGAGCTTCATTACCATAGACCAGCCATTGTGTGAATGGATAAACAAATGCAGCCTGCTACAAAGCTCTCACTGTGGCATGGCGGAGATGCATCGTGTGGAGAGAGAGAGAGAGAGAGAGAAAGTGAGAGATGGGGTGCCAGCCAACTGCTCTCTGGCAAGAATTGATAAAAAAATAAAAAAAATTTTAATCAGGCATCTCATGGCCATAGATATATTGTGAAAAAAAAAAAATTGTGTCATTGTGAAAAAAATAAATAAATAATAATCTACGTTTAAATTCAAAGAGGCAAGATAGTCATGCATAATGCATGAACTGACATTTTATTCATACCCAAAATGAGGCGAGGTGAACATTTTGGAGCAATAAACGCTGATGTAATGTATGTTTCATTAGGAAGCCGGGGGGCACGAGTCTCTCATAAAAAGTTCAAAACAGACTCTATTAATAATGTATGACGTTCCAGGAAATCCCTTATATAGACAAAGGCATCCAGCTATCAGTGTAGCTGAATAAAAAGCATGAACGTTGACTGTGACTAAGATTTATGTGGGTTTTAAGTCATAACTGGTTATTTTAATCACAAAGTATGTGAATAATGCAGTGCTAATTTACATAGACTTTATAACAATATAATTCATATTTTAACAAATATAAAATATATTTTGTGATAAAAAGTCTCATTAACTGTTCCGTCCTTGATTACTTCCTTGATGATATCCTTAATGCACAAGTGTATAAAACCAATTATAAAACAAATACTAAATAAACCAACTATACAATTGAGATTATAACAAATTATTGTTTGTTCATCAGTCTATTTACTTTCTTAGCCAATTATTTATATATAGAAGAAACCTTTCAATCTTTCAATCAAAATAAACTGATTAGAATAAACTGATATGACTTTTTTTGTCCCCCTCACTTCTGAAATGATGGCTACACCCCTGTGGCATCCTAAAGAGGCCCATTGGCAAGCCAAACGGACAAATGTCTGAAAAACTAGGATATGGCCATGTACTGGAACTTGTACTGAAAATTCAATGCACAGGTTGAACTATTGTGGAACTAAGGTGCAAAGATTTCTTTGAAACATATTGTGACAATCAAAAAAGCGATTCAATTCATCTTACCTGAGCACAGTGTGCCTTTGTGTCGGGCACAGGAAAAGTCATCACACTCGCAGAAGGTGCCGTAGATTTTGCCAAACTCAGACTCGTAGCAAAGGCACTGGTTACAGCTGCATTCTCCGCGGCCGCTGCACACCTGCTTGCCCTCAGCCTCACGGCAGGCACTGAGGTGCTGGTAGTCGACCTCACCCTCCTGGCACTCACAGCGGGCACCCAAGTAGCCGGGCTCACAACGGCACATCCCACAGCTGTAGGAGCCGGCCGAGTTGCAGCGGCTACTGTTGGGATCCGTGTGATATGTGCAGCTGCAATCACAGCGGTAGTCCACAGAGACCTCCAGGCGGTCTTTAAAACCAACAGGCCTGATGGAGAAACTTTTCTTGGTACCTTTCGGAGGACAGCCTCTAGCGTCTACAGTTAGGTTGAAGGAAACCTGAAAGAAAACAGACAGCTCATTTAAGACAAAATACACACAAATCAATCATTCTGTAGGCCAACCTGGAAGTTAGCATCACCCTGGTTCCATTGACAAAAAGCCAGCAGGATTTTTCCTTTGACTTTTGGATTGCAGAAAATAAGCTCTGTGACCAACTAAAGTTTGATTGTTACATGTTTTGTTCATCAAGACAATCTACACAAATTAACAATGAATGTTGAGGCCTAAATACAATGGTCAGAAGTAAAAAGCTGAGGATGAAATAAACAAACTACACAATCACCAAGCTTCTGGCAACTCCTTCAATATTTCTTTAAATTCAACAAGTTGGAGAGTTCGAGTTAGCGCAGCATAAACACAACAAGGCTTTAGTAAGGCTGAACAGCGTTGATGAGCTTTTGTGCTTGGTGTCATAACATTTAAATAATGTCATGTTATGTCCCAGAGAGCCTTGATAGTACCATTTAGTCACAAATAATAATACAAATTCACAAGTGATGCATTTTATATTGTATAATGAAATGAGGAAAAAAAAATGAACTTGGTGGTTGAGGAGATTCCCCCTCTATGTGAAGTACTTTAAATATCAAGAAAGGCGCTATATAAATGTAATGAATTATTATAATTATTGTGTTCACCACAGACTTTATTTCAGGCACTAAACATTTTTTTTGGGATGACCAAAGAAAAGGTTAAAAAATGCTAACTCAAAGGAAGGGGAGTTCTCTTCCTGGTGGCATGCATGACCTTATCTTTGAAGATAAGAGGGTTGAGTAACTGATGTAGATCATAGCTGTCAGATTAATGCCGGACCATCAGATCAGAGAAAAGACAGACTCCACCCAGATGATGACCACCCAGAGGAAGGAAGTCTAGAAGAGGTTTCATCCAAACTAGCCTAGACTTGATCTGCAATCAGTCAATTTCTGGTAAGATGGTGAGAAGAAATTCATTTCTCAGATTTAGTATTCCACTTGACTGTTTAAGTTTCATACAATTGCACTGGAATTATGCAAGATGCAGTGCAACAAAAGCATTTATCAGTTTATCAATTCTTTTCCCAGAAGTGAAAAAAGCAGAGAACCCGACACCTTTAAAAACATGTAGTCTGGCTGGCCTTTGATTCAGAAGCGCCCAGGGAAGAGTACAAGCCCAACATGCTGAGTCTGAACGCTTTGAAGTAGCATTTCAGATCAGTGAGCCCTCCAGACCCGAGAGCTCAAAGCTCAGAGCAGAACACTGGGCCACAGAGGGTCATACTGATGGAGGTAGACAAGAGGATCATGTACCTTTTAATCACAATGAAAGAAAAGTTATTTTAATCGAAAAGGGGTTGCTGTAAATTTGATAGCACTGGTTTCTCTACAGCAAAGTAACTTTTGATGGTCCCTTTTGAATATCTACTTACTCTTTATAGTGTTGGCCTTCCAACATACATTCTTACTGACTATAACTTTGCAACTACATGCAAACTTATTCTAAACCTACCAAGTCTACTAGTACTCTACCAATCTAATGAGAGTTAGTAGACATATGTGCAACATTACTAAGTCAACAAAATGTGTTAAAGGGACCATCAAACTAAAGTGAAACCAACTCAATCAAATAGTAAAAACCTGATAAATGGGAGGCAAGCAAGAAAATGTGCTAATTATTTAAAACGTCTATTTTTGTACCAAATTCTTAATGGTAAACTATAAAAAAGAAATTGTGCAAGTAATATCAACTGTTAAAAAAAATCTACGGCATTTTAACATCATTACATCACAAATTATCCAGCATTAACATGCTCCTTAAAGACCACGCTGAAAGACATCACAAGAAAAGAGGAAAAATTAGGGATCAGGCAAAGGCACAGAAAGACAACGTTTTTCCTCAGAGGCAATGACCTGCAGAATTGGATTAAGGAGACATGTGAGTCACAAGAACATGGCAACAATTAGATGAAGACAAACGCATTAGAAAACTCCATGAAATCTGTGCAGTTGAGCAGAGGAAGAGGAAATATAATTAGGCAATCAAAGGGCAAAACTGTATACTGCTTACTAATACACACAAACCAGTCGAAAACTTGGGAAAACACTGGCAATGTTCAACATTTAGTGATGATCCAAGTCAGATCCGTGTGTTTGCAGAAATAGTTTGTGAAAGACCTAAAGCCAGAGCAGCAGAAGTCCTGAATAGATGCCAATAAACTGAAGCATCAGTCAGAATGGGAGGTTTAATGGTTTTCATAGTCTGACATTCTGTGTCTGAGAATGCAATAAGAATGCTAAACTGCTAAGAGCAGATAATAACACAACTCTTCAGAAAAAAAAAAATAAATAAAAATCTATAACTTGATATGAAGTATTCACTCCATAGGCTTCTTAAGGGATCGAAACTGTCCGGCCCAAAAGTTATTAAAGACATCCTCAAAATAGACAGAGAGACTACAGTGGCTCAATCTTAAGTTTATCAAGTGACAAGAATACTGTGTGCGCAAAAAACAAACTAAAATGACAATGTCAACTATTCATTTCCTTCTCTGTTAGATTTCACATAGTGGAACTAAACATGAAGCCCATGGAGGAGTGATTCAGCTCTCAGATTTAATAGAAAATATCTTAATTTGTGTTCCAAAGATGAACGAAAGTCTAACGGGGTTGGAACAACATGAGGGTAATTACTGACAGAATTTTCATTTTGAGGTGAACTAACCCTTTAACTACTAAAGCACATAATTTCTATGTACTAAACTAAAATTTCATGAAAACTAAAAATATAAAGTTAAAAGCCAATTTTAAAAGTTTTCAATAAAAACTAGAAATGCATTTAAATATTCTCAACATTAAATTAGGCACATTTAAATAGAAAAAAAAAATAATACCTGGATAATCCTAAAATTGTATCTCCCGATCACCCTGTCTACTTATTACAATATAAAATGCATTTAAAAAAAGGCTATTATTATAATATTAAAATTAGTGTAATAATAAACATAACTACAACTACTTTTCAAAATGTACAAAAACACCTACCACATAGTATACCATAGCATTCTTGCGTCTGCAAAACAGTGAGCAAAGCTTTAAAAATCCATGGCAAACAAACTCTATCCTAAAGTAAACTGATGTTTCCTGGGACACCATCCAGATTAATATAGGATTAGATCAATGTATTATGTATGGGACATTTTAGTAGTCTCTAGGGGCTTGAATCCACTTCTTAAAGGAATCTAAGCTTAACTTTAGAATCTGGGCAACAGCCTCTGTATCTAAGGCCCGTGTTTTTCCACAGCTCCTCGCCCAAAAAGCTCAGTGCTATTGTGTGAGCCCATTGAAATGCAGCATCCGACTCCTCGGAGGGTTTGGTGGAGGACCGTGAGAGATACAAGGGATTCTGTTTGGGTTGTGCCCCCCTTTCTAAAGGCATGATTGGCACTCGGGCACGTTGTGACAAATTTCTCTCGTGGATGAGACAAAAAGACCCGGGCCTATTGGAGCAGCCAGAGAAAATTGGGTTGCTCCATTCATTGTGGTTATTCTGATGTACCCCTCCACTATTTCCTTTACGCTCCTTCTCAACATTCAATTAAACAGAATGGGAATGAATGATACAGGAGAAACTGGAGGGTCAGATCACTGCATGGTGTAGAAGTTTTACAAAGTCCATCTAATTAAGAATGTATGGGAGATCCAACAATGACAATAAACACCATCAAAAATAAAAAGCATTCTTTCAAAGTAACCGTTAATTAGACAAGCACTGTTGGATACATCATGTGGCCTTGATTGCTTCGGTAATCTGCGTGTTATGATACTGTAAAATTTAGTTACAATAACACTCTGAAAGGGCTCTAAGCAATTTCATCTTTTTCACTCTAAACAAAGAGCGAGTCTGCTGTGACTGACACTGCATAATGGCGTGAGAGTGCGGACAACGGCATGTTATTCAAATCCTGCATGTTATCATTGAGCAAACACCACATCGTCTATACCACAGGAAGTGCTAAACAATATGCCTGAGAGTGTGTGATTTCAGCCATGTTCCTAGGACCTGCTGAAAACCACTGCGATACCAATTATCTGTAAGTGGCCCGAAACTGAGCGTAGGTAGACAGCAAACGGACATTGAATCAATGTGGAAATGACGTCTGTCATGACATCGAAACAACGTTGATCTGGCATTGTTTTGCTCATCGAGTTAACGTTGAACCAACGTCGGACGCGGCATTCTTCAAAGCTAAATGAAAATCGAAAATTGGTTTGCTTTCATAACGTTGAAACAACGTTGATTTCAAGTCGATTTTCCGCTAGTTTTGAGCGTCTGACGTTGGTTCAACGTTAATTCGATGAGCAAAACAATGTCAGATCAACGTTGTTTCGATGTCATGTTTCCACGTTGATTCAATGTCAGTTTGCTATCTGGGTAGGTACCGGTAGTGTTTGGAATCTTCCTGTCAATGCATTTACTTTTCAAAGTTATTTCTGACTCAAATACTAGATCTTCTGGTGTTAATATGGCCAAATTTACAATTTGAGATGGAATAAAAAAAAGGTTATGCACTAGAAGATAGTTAAAGAAAATATGTTGCTTTCATATCCAGGGCATTATATACAGGTCAACAAAGGCCAAACGGGGAAGTAAAAACAAGTTTCAAACTGTGTAAACATGATTTGAACATTTAGGAAGATCTCCTTAAAGGGGTGGTTCAGAATTTTGAACATTGGGCCTCATTTCCAAGTTAGCCTTAGGCCGTGTGTCCACCAAAGCGTTTTTAGCCAGCTGAAAACACTAGACGCTCTGCCCTAGAGGCAGTACTTTGGGCGCTTGAGAGCATTTTGGCAGTGCAGCGTTTTTTTTTCCGTTGAGACGTTTCGTTGCTATGATACAGAATATTCGCATCACAGTTTACTTGTAACTGATTTTGCAGATAATTTGTTTCATACTAAAAATGTATTTTTCATCCATTTTGTTCGATTGGCTCTGTTGGTTGATGTCGTTGTACAGAAAGAATGTTGTGACAGTTGGTCGGTGTGTTATTAGTCCCGCCCCTCCTCCACTGTGATTGGAAGGGTGGGTAAAAAGTGACAGTGATGAGCGCTGCTTTTTATCCAAAGTTGAACATTTTTCAACTCTCGCCGACCATTAAAAACTCATTACGCTCATAGCATTTAAAAAAACGTGGCGCTCCCATTGAAAACAATCGAAAATGTACGCCAGGCACGAGGAAAAACGCTTTGGTAGACATACAGCCTTTGTGTTATTTATCAGTGGAGACAGATTTCAAAAATTTTCATCCAGTCGTTCCAGTTGCAAAGTTCGCTGGTGCTAGGCTAGCACGAGTCAACGGTAACTGCTAGCCTTCCATTAGAAACACTTTTACCCACTCCACAGTACACCAAAAGCAAATAAATTACAAAGCTAGACTATTGATGTAAATGTCTGTTAAGACATTAAGCCCGATGTCCAAAATTCTAAACCACCCCTTTAAGGAGTACAACTACCATCAATTTACTAGTATTAGGCAACAAGATATAGCATACAGAATCCTGGGGGTATAATAAGAGGTATAATAAGATCTGAGCTCATTGCCACAGACCTCATAGACTCAAGTTGCAGACTGAGAGACAGGATCAACTGTGATCCATTTAGAAAAAATTTTTTGTAAAAGGCACAATCATGATTTGATAAAATATAAAGTACTAACAGTGTCACCAATTTTGAGGTCAGCACACTTGCGGAGGCCGGTCAGGGGCTGGCCGTCTTGGCAGGTGGCGGTGAAGGACAGACTGAGATCTTCAGGATGATCCCACACGCTCAGCTCAACTTTTGACCTGATGTTCTGCACAAAAAAAAAGAAAACAAAAATCAAGCAAATGATCCAAGAAACAAAACAATCCAACATTCACTAGTAACAGTTTGAAAGGTAATGGAGATGTTCAAGAATTATATACTGCATTTGGGATCTATAATGCTTTAAAATGTAAAACCACAAACTTTCAATCATATACTTCGATCAAATACTATCACTGAACACACCAAAATAGATCATATCCATAACAATAATCATAGTTTAGCATATTTTGGTGGAAACTGACAGTCAGGAGAGATGAGGAATTGGATCATCTGGGTCAAACCCTAACTTGATATTTGGCCAGTGTTTGTCATCAGTTAGAAACTGTTTACCGGTATTTAATTTTTCTTTCCCCCCAGTGTCCAGTGAATCTTCTCTACTGTTCAAAAGTTTGGGGTCAGTATGTTTATTTTGTTTTTGAAAGAAGTATCTTATGCTCATTAAAAACTGTAATATTGTGAAATGGTTTTAAAATAACTGATTTCAGTTTCAATATTATATATGAGTCAGTACAATTAAAATATATATATATACTTTTGAACTGTAGTATGTGTAGTCACTTGATCTTGTTTAATTTAAGGTTATATAAAAATGCTAGTGTAAAAATTTACTCCAATATATAGCTACTGTACATAAAAAAAAAAAAAGCTCTTCAGCCAAAGAGACCATTTCTTGGAAAACAGCAGAGATCTGCCAATGCAGTAACAAACACAGAGTGTCAGATCTTCACAAGCCAGAAATACCACACTGAAAAGCTTACTGTGTGAACTAAAGCAAACACATGGACGAGCCCATCAATGACAAAAACAGGAAATTCCCTACCTTTTGTAATCATGTGATCACACAGTGAAGACACAACAAAAGACCAAATGTTTTCTAAATAACACTCCACAACATCATCTGTTCTTAATTCAATTTCTAACAATTTATTAGCTGAAAACCAGGGGGAATTAATTCGGTTGACAATTAAACTGGAATCAATTTACATTGAATACTTTAGATGAGTAATGGTTATTTATTACTATGCTGTTGTATTGATAAAACAATTTCCTGAGTCTGAAGTGTGTTGACCACATTGCCTGAAAATGAACCGTGTATTCATAATGGCCCGTCACTATATATCACAGCTTCAACCCTGAACCTTTTAATATGCATTCTACACTCTTGAAAGGAAATAAAAGCATGAAGGGGTCAGTCTTGGGGTCACCAAGAGCACATTTTTTCTTTTATGTACACCTGCCACCTGTGCTTCAAATAGGACTATAAAGGGACACAGGATGATGTTTTAGGTTGGATGTACTGAATAAATTGTATAAAGAAATAATATATAGAACACATCAACGCCACAAATCCTAGAGCTTGTTTAAAAAGATTAAAATAGAAAATAGAGATACTTCAATCGTAGTGCATGAATGAATGTATTTGTCATGCGCCATTTAAAAAAAAGAGCTATTTAGGTATTTTTGCAAGCTATTAACAAACCTGCACTGCCACAGTAAAATAAACAATCAATAAATAAAAAAAAAAATAATAAAAAATAAAAAAACACTTGTGCCTACCTTACAGACTTGCACTCTATCTTTGGAGTGCAGCAGAAACCCACCAGTAGGTGGCGGCATGTCAATCGCTGCATCCGAAATCAAATATTTTTTCTACAATATAGTATGCAAAAAACAGTACGGCAACAGAGTAGCATGTCCGAATGCCTAGTATTTCACAGTAGGTGAAAAGTCCCCGAATGACCTACAACTTCCGGCGAGATTCTGAAGTGCGCATTTGTTCGACACTTTAATATCCCACAGGAAAGGATTAATACGTTGTTGTTTTTTTTTACTACCCACACTCATACTATTGTAAGGGGTTTACAGACAAAGACCCAGAACCAGATAAGAAGAATGAATAATAAAGGCAGTGGTTCCATAACCTGCAACCAAGAAGACAAACACACACACCAACACACTGCTTTTCCAAGGTTGGATTTGGCCAAGCTCTAACTATAAACAGGAGAGTCGTCTCAAAACATCAAAATAATGCCTTCTTTCTCCTAAGGATAGCTACTAACTTACATCAGCAAGCATTTAAGAATATGATTTCACAAGCATAAGCACAAAGAATATATATATATACTGTATATATATACACGTGTGTGTGTGTCAATAAATGATTAAATAATAATGAATATACCTAATTACTGATTTTATGAAAGAACTATACAAGCATTCAAAGGGATATTATGATTGATATATATATATATATATATATATATATGTATATGCTGAAGAGGCAAGAGATTTTGACTACCCCCTTCACTATATAGAAAGTACTTTAACAGTCGCGAAGGAAGTTCAAATTCAAATGAAGTTCCTGCTCAGACAGTATGCGATATCGGAAGCAGCGACTGTCTTAATGAGTCAGTTATTGAGTCAAACTGTGTTGCAATTATAAACTTACATTGTATGCGTTCACAATTAGCTGAATAATGTTTTTGGAGTCTTGGTCCAAAATTTCCACTGTAGTCCCAGGGATCAACGCAGTGAGATTCTATAGATACAAATACATTAAGAACATATTAAACACAAACAGCCCAACATCTAACAACACAGCTTATGAGGAATGAGAGGTACCTTGTAAAGAACATAGTGTCTTTTGGTCACTGCAAAGATGAGGAAAATATTGTTTTCAGCCAGTTTCTCTCCAAGTAGAGCGAGTGAAGGGTAGTCCTGTAGAGGGACGCCACATGTCCATACATCAGTAAGATACATTTAAGCAATCCCTCACTCCCTGCAGCACCCTTTCTGTCAGGAAGTTTGCAAAAGGAAGTCATCGCTCTTCTGATTCCCCTCCACTGTTAGCGTTATTATCCTTCTCACCCATTTCCTCTGAATTCAGCTACAGCGTTCTCTGCTAAACTGCCTGAGTATCCAGGGAGTTCGTACTCAATATATTTAACCAATGATCATCGATGTGTTAAGTACATTTGAGTAAGGTTTTCTTACAGAACAAGATGGATGCGTAAATATTAAATCCTAGTTTGCGGTAGAAGGCACACACTGCTTTTGTTTGTTTTCCTTCTGTCTGAGCGATCTCTCTCACTCTCAAAACATTCAGTTACTTTGGATGGAGACCAAACTGCTAAACGAGCGACACATCTGTTCTTGCACTTTGACATAGATGGGGAATAACAATTTATCCAGTTCAAAGCCATAAAAAAAGTTACGAATTTTCAAGAGACATCACATGGTGAAAGGAGAAGGAAACAATAAGTGCACAAAAGCTTAAAACTGAATTATCTGCATTGCCTTTGAAGGTTTTGCTATGCTGTTCAGCAAACACATACCTGCTGAGGTTTTAGCCAAGCATTTCAGACAATAATGACATGTTATCATCCAAGCATTTATAGCTGATGGAAGTTAAGGGCAATTAGTTATTAAATGGCGGCTATAATGCCCTTTTCACACAATGAAAATAAGTCTTTGATGTGTGTATGTAAAGTTTTAGCTCAAAATACCCCACAGATATTTGTATATAGCATGTTGAAATTGTTACTTTTTGAGGGTTAACAAATCGGTTTTGTGTGTCCGTTTGAATGCAAATGAGCTGCTACTTCCGTCACAGAGGGGCGGAGCTTCAACAGGTTATGTCCTTTTACCTCACACAAACATGCACTGAAAATTTCAAAACTTTCAGCCTTTTATGTACAAACCGTAGTCAGACAATGATAGAGTGACACAAGAAGAAGTGACATGCAGAAAGACATTTCTGAATGGTTAATTGGAGAATTTATGCAGCTTATGTGAAGTTAACTATCTTCTAGGAATTGATTAGCATATTCTGTCATGATATTCTATAAATCATGTTCCCGGGGGCAGGGTTTATGTACATTTTATGGTTAGTGATTTCACTAACCCGGGAGGAATGTTATGTAGTCCCTACCAGACGTTTGTTGTAGTCCTTAAACTATTTCTTTAAAAGCATTTTCTTTGAACGTTGGGCATTGGAAATTTGCAGATGTTATTTATGCTCAAACTAACTGAAGTACAAAAGTATGGCAAATTTACAACCACCCCTTAAGTATGTTTAAATAAAACACAGCTCATTCAGAGAGTCTACAAAACATTTATTCAAAGCAAAACATGTAGTCTTCACATTTGAAGACTGATTATTTGTTTAGTTTTGTGGTGTAAAAGCTTTACCATCTTTGTTGAAGCGCTGTACTCATTCTTGTCGTTCAGGTGACACTGTCCATCGTGAGGATGCACTAGTCCACCGAGCTTGCCGTCCAAAGCCAAGTGGGGGACGTCATCGGTGGCAAACACCAGGAGATGATAAGCTTCTTTCCTCCAGCCAATCCTCTCCTGCCACAATGACACCAAACTTCATTTATACCAGCCTATATCTTTTTGCATCTCTATACCATTTAATATGTTCATTTAATTGTTACACACAGATTTTTATTTTTAATAATTATTCCAATTAGTTTGCTGTTGTTAGTTGATGGATATAGTTTACAGTTTTATTTATTTGATGGATCAGTTCAGTTATATTACAGTTGTCAGAATGTGTATCAACATATGGACATTATCAGCGTTTTTCAAATCAAACACACATACTGTATAAGATAATTTTCCAGAAATACATTCATTTAAAAATAAGTAGTAGTAGTTGTATAAAGTAGTAGATGAAATACCTTTGTGAAACATTTTGTTAAATTATTTAATCATTTTTATATATTTTTATTATGCAAGCAGCTTTTATGGCCTCATATTATTTTAAAGACGAAATAGATACTTTTAAACATTCATGTCAACAGTATTAGATTTTGCTGCATTTGGCCGAGCAGTGGTTTGGGTGGCTTGCCAATGTATTAGATTTCTCCAATACATAAAATAAGTAAGCTTGACCAGAGTTCTTGTATGTGGGGAGAAGAATTTATTGAAGGTTTGTACTGTAGCAGTCCTTCAGCAGCAATGTTAGCATGCCGCTCTTCAACAATCTGAAAGGGTTAGTTCACCCAAAAATTAAAATTATGTCATTGCCCGAAGCCCGTAAGACCTCCGTTCATCTTCGACACAGTTTAAGATATTTCAGATTTAGTCCGAGAGCTTTCTGTCACTCCATTGAAAATGTATGTACGGTATACTGTTCTATACTGGGCTTGGAACGACATGAGTCATTAATGACATAATTTTCATTTTTGGGTGAACGAACCCTTTAACCCAAAGTATACATAAAAACAAATGGGCTACAAACAACAACAAATCTACCCTGCAATCTACTCTGTTTCTTTGTCATTCACACAATTAAATTTCTATAGGCCATACATCTGTATGGGCCAATCAGTTCACACCTTTGTAGACACAGATAGAGTTAAGGCACAGTCACAATGTAAATGCATCTTATGACTGAAATTACAAAATCTTTCAACATGACCATTTAAAATTCTTTTTCAAAGTTATTTTAAGGCAAATGGGGGTTTAAAAATGGTGATTAGCCCCAGTTCTTAAACAGTTTTATCTAGCAGACAGCACCTGCTAACTAATGCTTCAGAAACACATGGCAAATTCAACCATTTTAAACACAAGATATCATTAGTCTCACAAACAAATAACACATATAGCGTTTAAATGGGCAAGGCTCTCCTCTTTCATTCAGCGTAAACCACAGTCTCTTTCTCCCATGCATGCTGTGATTGTGCCTTTCATGGCAAAGCAAATATTTGTACAGCCTATGATGTCAGGCAATATTCACGTGTCTCTTTTAAGTTTCAGACACACCTGTATCTCTTTTGAGAAAACTCAGACAGCAAAGATGTCTCCCTGTAGGGAATTGAAGAAGCAAAGAAGAAGCAAAATGACCAGTCCTGACTGACTGCTTACCTTGCAAACTGCAGCCTGCAGAATGGCATCAAACCCCCCCTCTGGTGCATCCCTGTTACGGGAGACCATCTGCTTCTGCACTTCCTCGTTGAAACGATCAACCTTGTCCGTAAGAGACAAGAGGTGACGAAAGCCAAATGTGGGGACACAGTTTGGGAACAACTTATATCTGAAATAAGAGAGGAATTATAAACATCAGGAGCTTAAACAGCAATACTGAAAACATAAATTAATCCTAATATTGTGATTTTTGATATCATTATAAAAAACGTATATAGATTACTTAAATAATCAGATAATGTAATGAAAATAATGCGTCAATGCCATGGCAGGGTTATGTATGTACGCATGTATGTATATACACACACAGACAAATATAACGAAAATAAATATTTTAACTAAAATTTTAATGGATGCTGTGTTAGTTTAGATATATTGAAAATGTGTTTAGTAATATTACTTAATAATATTTGAGGTTTACTAATTGCAGAACAAGGAACATGATGGTTGACATATTGTCTGTTCCTATGATTTCTATTCTGAGCATTCAGCAGAAATGAGTGCATAACCTACATGGGCACTGATGCATGATAGGCTGCAGGCTGCATGCTCTGGGACATGTGCTGTACTGACTTTGCAACCTCAATCTGCTGTGTCACACATTTCAATGTCTGCCATTATGTCACGTTGGATTAGAATAATAACCACCAGTGACAGCAGGATTCTCTTTTAAGGATTATCTGAACTAGATTAAGTTTTGACTTTTGAGAGTGACATAAGACTTTGGATAATTCCAAAATTGTAACATCCCAAGGGCTTTTGAATTTCCAAGACAAGGCTCCGCTAAAGCAGGGCTATTTTTAGTTATACAAGATAAATAAATGAAGACATATTCACTTCCCCAGATGTGAAAGTGTCTCCAAACTGTTCTCACTCACTAGCGAGTAGTTGTTCCTTCCATTCAATTTCTTTCACTGCATAACAAAGGGAAAGCCAATCCCAAACCTGTTTACAGCTCATCACAGATCTGTAAGAGAAGTCCCTTACCCATTGCATGGGTTGTCCTGGTACTTGGGGGCTGTGTAGGAGAAGGGTGAGATATTCTTATCCACAAAGGAACCAAAACCAAGGCGGAAGTTACTAGTTAGCTTCCTCATTTCCTCAGCCAGTTTGGTGCCCAGGTTGCGGATTGTGTCCAGATCGTCCTTCATTGAGAGTGAGAGGTCCATCAGGTAGTACAAATCAACAGGGTAGTCTTCCACAGGGCGCACTTGTACCTCAAAGGAAATCTGGTCACCTGAAGAGTGGGATTAAGAGTCACTACATTAACAGACCACATAAATTGACCTACAAACACATTTTATTTTATTCTTTTTCTTCTCTAAATCTATCAACAGATGCATACCAGGCCTTAAGCTGAGAGAGATCTTCTGTGGGTATATCTGGATAACATCATACTGGGTCACCCCAGAACCTTTGGAGCTCAGGGGTTTGCTCAGCAACAGAGAGCTGCCACTCCTGGGATTCTCTATAAAAGGAGCATCACATCCTCTTTTCAGTAAGTTCTGGCTAAAGTCACATCGTGAGGTGAGAGTTCTGGCCTGTCCAAAGTCCTGCATCAGGGAAAAAGAAAGATCACGGTCTAAGCAATGTAAGGAAACAATTAAATAAATGAGCAAACCCAAAATGCAGGGGAATAGGGCAATAATGCACTTAGTAACATGTCGACAGTTCAAGTGCATTACAATTAATAAATCAATGGCTTGTGCCAATGACTGCCATCAATGGCAGTCTATGATGCCTATAATACCGCCTAGGTAGGCAGCGGAGTAGTTTGAAAGTGAGACACAGCCACACTCAAAAAATCAAGTGTCAACCAATGTCTGGCAGGAATGTGGTCGCACGCACCTCTTGCGCGCACCAGGCGCAGCTCGGGTGAATGAGGAAACATTCTTCACAAGATGAGGCGCTGCCGCTCATGCAAACATTAAGACCTAGTGGGGAAAAGAGAGTCCAATTCAAGTCAAATAGGAATTTTGAATCTGCGCATAATTCAGACTCTTTAATCTAACGTCAGACACTTACAACTGAAGTCTAGGCTGTTAGCTACAAACAGAGAAGCATATCGCCATAAAGACACGGAATTGCTCAGAAAATAACTATCACAAACCGATCCCTCGTTATCATAATGGAGAAAGAAAAACATAAATAAATGAATGATAAACAAATAAATGCAATTAATTATTACAGAAACTATAATAAATCAGAAAAAAAAACATTTAGATTTATTTATTATTTATTTTCACAACATTCCGTTTATTTACTCGCATTTACTAATTTGATATGTATTGAATTATTTTTCGTATTTGGTCATGCAGATTAAAAATGCAAGTTTATTTTTTTATCTGAACGAAAGTACTCCGACGACTTTGTGTTTTCACTAAACACTTACCATTGACGCTGTGAATAAACATTTCCAAGACCATGTAAACTAGAAGAGCCGGGTGACGTGTAAATGGGCAAAGTTTCCACATTATTCCTTGAAAAATCAAAATCCCGTTCAACATCAAATGAGATTTTGTCCAATTGTATAAAAAGATTGTATTATTTTATATAGTGAGTGACTGAGATCTTCTCTTTGTCCATCCTCTCCAAATCACAGCGGCACATCCATGACTGAAGTTAGCGTCCAGTGCAGAGAACTGCATTGGTAAACACATGAGTAACGTTAAAGTCCGAGCGGCGTCTGAACAATAATCCACATTCGAAGTTATTTGGTTACTGTCGCGCTCTGTCTGAGGTCCACTGCAATAATTCAGCATGCACTGCATCCATTACTGGTTTTCAAGTTTTCAGTGGCAAGAACATTTAAACTTCGTGAACATGCCTTTTTTATCCATCCTCCGGTTGTTTTCGGCTTGAAAGTTCAGTAGTCGAGTGCCTTGCGCGTCCCTGAACTCCGCCCATGGGAAACCAGAGAGGACTTTGCTTTACACCCCCAATCAGTGTTCAGACAAGTTCCACCTTCTGCAACTGGGATTGGCTAGTACGGGCGACTTCCAAGCATGCTGATTGGACAGTTAACAGGTCATTCAAAAGATGTTACCAATCAGGCAAAGGACGGCGATAGTCATGAATGAGGAGGGGAAAACCTTTATTGTGGATTTTTTTTTTTTTAGCAAATTAGAATTTGCTCTTAAACCTAAATCAACCAATCTCACTTATAATCTCACTGATAAATCATTAAACTAGGTGCATCTTTACCTTATGAGGTATTAGATTGAGCGTTTTAAAAATATTTTTGATAGGTTAGTGGTACATTAACTGGCTTGGAGAGTTCAACCAGTGGCGTGAGGGCAGTCATGTGACCATCACTAATTAGATCGCCACCTGTTTTACAGTGAGAGCTGTGGAAGTAGTTTTAGGTAGCTCAAAGAATATAAGGTTGTTATGGTTGAACCCAAGCTGACAGTAGAGATAAAAAGAGTTCCTTCACCACTGGCCATTTTTACAATTGCAAAAGGGACTTGACCTGGCTTAAAATGTTCAAACTAGTGTAGTTTGCACTAATCAAACCATTAAAGAATGCACAGGAAAGCAGTTTTATTTAAGAAACACGGGGAAACTTATATATGTAGTTATCATAACTCTGGTAATAGCAGAACTAAAAGGATGAAAAAGCTGAAATTCAAAAAAACATATTATTCCTCCACTTCCAGGATCAACTTTCAACTCAGAGGAGGTGTTGGGAACAGATAACAACAAAATGTTTATACATAAATTTGTTACAAAAATGGAACTGAAAAAGTGAAATCCAATCATACGGGTCAGGAACAAACCACTTATTAAAACAGCACAAACTTAAATACAAGTGGGGGTAGAGGCCTGTGTGAGAAGCTCAGAGGTCATATCCACTATAGATCTCAATGGAAGGCCACTGAGGAAGCCCTGGTGCTTGGCCCGCAGTTCCAGCAGGGAATCCACGATCCTTTGGCGGCTTATGTTTGGGTGGCGCTCCGACATCCGGGCCATGATTGTGTCAAAGCTTGTTGCATAGTGCTGGGGCACACATGTACCAGAGGCTGTAGGTGAGTCGCACACATTGGTCAACCTGTCCACACTACAACGAGGCCCCTGAGTCAAAAACGCATGACAGATATCAAGGATTTGAAATCAAAAGTTGTCTGGTATTAGCAATAATTAAAGTATTAAAATCACTTACAGTGGCTGAAATCTAACTAGTTCTGGACAAAGCAAACTTCCTAAAATGCCTGCTACTTCATACTTACTCCATGTGATGGACTGTAGGTTACGCTCTTTGTTCCAAGTCTATCCCCTGCAGTTTCTGAGGTGCTGTGAGACGGATCACTCAATGTAGGCTCAGCTAAAGCAGGCCGACAGAGTTGAACCACTTGGACAGCGTGACCATGGAGGGAGCGACCATTTAGATCTTCAACTGCTGCCTTGGCGTCGCTGGAGCTCTTGAGATAAACAATAGCTGCCCTACATAAGCATAGACAATATTTCAGTTAATTAATTCTAATCTTGAAGGAAGTCTGGAACGACAAGCATTCAGCATTACTACAAAGTCTATAAAGCAGATTGACTGTCTTGCACAGTTCATCTCCAACCCTAATCAAACACACCTGACGCAGGAAATCCTAAGAAAGAGAAGAGTAAAATCCTAAGAGTAAGAAAGTGTTCCTTACTCATTTACACTGATACAATGTACACAAAGTTGATAACATTTACTGAGATGCTGTTAAATAGTGTATAGAGAAATTGTAATGCAGTAGGCTAAAAACTAAATTTAATATTGATGTTGGTATTGACTGCTATTTTATAACTTTGAACTAGTGTTTAATCTTAGATTTTGGGCATATGTGGGATCAAGTCAGCATGTTGAGAATGCTTACCTCATATTGTTGCTGAAAGTGGAGATACTGACATTCGTAGCATTGTACTTCTCAAACCAAAGCAGCAGTTCATGCTAAAGAAAACAACATTTAGTGGCTTCTGCTGCCCTCTAGAGGCTAAAACGAACTTTATTGAAGAAAAAAAAAATACATTTGTGGGCACCCTACCTCACTGACATTGTCTGGCAAGCATGTAATGCACAAGATGGAACTTTGTTTTGAATCATCTTCATCAGTCCCTGTGAAAAAGTATATATTTATCAAAGATAATCTGATCAACCAAATCAAAGAGCAATGAGGCTTTCTTCCAGAACAGAATCTGAGTTTAAGCTACATTTTTAAGTATAGACCTAAATGGGTGTTGTTGAAAGGGGACAGAGATTCACAAGACATCACTATCACTTAGTTTCAATTAACCTACTACACCTTTGTGCTTCATTTTGTTGTTCATACTTTCCCTCTTTTCAATCAGTTTCTCCATTTTTTCATCTTGATTTGGAGACCCAAGTTCCTCTTCTGCATCAAACCAAGCTTCGCTGCCATTTGGATCCTTGATGGCACCTACCATATAAAACACTGTAATACAATTCCAGTTTATTTCTCTTTCTTCAATCTGAAATTCATACCAGGGGTTGCCACAGTGGAAGCTCCTGGCTTCTTGTTTGAAAAGACGACTTCATCTCTCTTGTTGCCATCACATTTTGCTTCATTCTATTCAGAAAACAAACACTGAACTGACACTGAAACAAAACACTGAACTGAACTGACTGAAACAAATTAATAAATTAATCACAATTATCAAATAATTTGAATGGAAGAATGTGAATGAACTACCGGTGCAGCATCAGTGTCCTGACAAACGTCAGAGTTCAGTGCTCTCATCTCTTTACTTTCTTCATCCACTCCGTGACCGCTTGCAATGGTACTATGCAGAATCATAGAATAATTGGCACTTCTGAACATGTGAAAAATTTAATATTTGTGTACAGCCTCATACATGCATCACACAGCAATAAATAATGTGATGTACATTACCCACCACTGTAAAGGTAGACCTGCTGATATTATGTGGGGGCAAAAAGCCACAATAGAATGCACTACAAGATCAAAATGGTGTCATTCATTCATTTATTCATCTACACTACTGTTCAAAATGTTGGGGTCGGTGAGATTTTTAAATGAGTAATTTTAAAAGAGTCTCTTATTCTTACCAAGTCTGCATGTATTTGTTCAAAAATACAGCAAAACATTAATTAAGGTTCATTCACATTTTACCACTGCAGGACTGTTAAGGTAAATAACCATTCCACGAAACATCTGTTCAAACTCACCACAGCATCTTAACTTTAATAACCAGAGTTATGTAGTTTAATACAAAATAAGCTGAAACCAGGCAAGACGTTACCCCATGCAGAGAACATGACGGAAGCTAAGTATTGTAATTTGTTCAATCAACATCAATTAAACATTCTATTATACAGATATTTGTGAAACATGTACAGTATGCCTTTTCCAAATCTTTCAGGTTTTATTTATTTTTTTAAAAATTTTTCCAGGCCTGGGAATTATTTTAAAATTTCAAGACTTTTCCTAGGTTTTTCCATGACCGTACAAACCCAAAGCAATGCTGTGAAATCTTACTATATTTAAAATAACTTTTCTATTTTACTACATTTTAAAATGTTATGTATTCCTGTGATGTATATCTACATTTTAAGCATCATTACTCCAGTCTTCAGTGTCACACAATCCATCAGAAATCATTGAAATATGTAGTAATATATAGTTTTGATGCTCAAGAAACATGTTTTATCAATGTTAAACAGTAATATTGTGAAAAAAAAAAAAATCAGGCTTTAATAAGTAGTATGGTCATTTTTGTTTAAAAATTATAGGAACATTCCACAACATTTAAAAAATGTCTTTACTGTCACTTTTGATCAATCTAATGTGCCCTTGCTGAATAATAGAAATAAAAATAATAGTATACATTTTACACACATCTTACCGACCCCAAACTTTTGATTGGTAGTACATATTGGCAGATATTTCAGAGAGGTTTTGACTTAAATCTAGCAAAGAATTGACTGAAGCACTCGCCTCCAGCATCCTGGCTGTGAAATGTGGCAGCGGTATGTTCCAGCATTCCAATAAAGAACTCATACCAGGGGAGGCAGTCAGAAAACTTAATTTTTGTGTAAAGATTAGTTTTAATTATTTTTATTTGACATATCAGGACCACTTACCTTTCTGGACTGTCAAATAAGTCTAAATGGGCATCAAGTACCTGAAATGAGACTGTATTACCTACAACTTATCTCAGATGCAATACATTTCCAAATTAAAATTCTGTCATACCAATGCTGGGCTGTAGTTTGCCCCTGTAGTTATCTTTTCAGAATCTACTGACAGGGGCCTGAGGTCATCCAGAGAAGTGCCTGTCAGAATCAGTCTCCTCATCTCATGGTAATCTTTCTGTAGTGTATTCAGAATTTCTGCTATGCTGTCTGGCAAGGCCTCAGTACTGAGGTACATACACACAAAAAATAAATAAATAAATAGCTGACCTGAAAGTTCATATAGAATACCGCAATAGAAATATTGAATTCTCATAACAGAAATTCTTCATTGAGCGATCCCTTACCCTTGATGAGCACTTTCACCCTGTGGGGAGGTGAAGTAACATCTCCAGCAGTGCTGTTGACACATGACAAACTGAAGAGCGAGAAGACGCAGCTCTGTTCTTCTCACTCGCTGGGCACAGTCACACCCACAGACTCTCCTGCAGTGGTCACCACCAGGACCAGGGCTGAGAAGATGCATGAAACTTCTTGACATTTTAATAATTGTTGCTTAAAAAAAAGATGTTTTGATGTAGTACATGGACTAAGACTGGAGCACTGTTTTACAAAGCTAACTAAAACAAAGTTGTCTACCTCAAGGGGGCGCTTGAAGTCTCAGAAAGCCAAATCCTGAGGATGTTTAATGTTTTACTGAAGACATTTTTTTCTAATTTGTTCATTTCAAAGACAAAA